CGGATGTGACTTTTGTACGAGGGAGTACATGAGAGGAGGGATGGTAGGAGTATGTAAAAATAATTATATGAGTCTATATCCATATTAAATCTTGACTTGACCTTGAATCTGGATGCATCACACTTCCGCATGTAGCTGTAATAGTTGTGATATTTTGAGAACACTTTGTGTAGATCACTGAGCGCTCACAGCAGTAAACATATACAACGCGGACATTAAAAACAAAGATAAAATTAACAGGGTGGACAGAAGCATAATGGGTCACGATAGACGGACCATGTTGGAAATCTGAATACACAAGTGAACCGAGAACCTACTAAAAAACTACCAGGCAAATCTACGGTACGTAAACAATTTACTAGAGCTTTATTTTCACTGTGGGCTGTGGTTCGTACATCAGTTTGCGTGTGGCCAGCAGTAACAACCTGGTTGATCAGACCCTGATCCACCACGAGGCCTCGTCTCAGACCGAGCCTCGGGGGCGTTGACCCCTGAAACCATCTCCAGGTATACTCCAGAAAACAGATACACTGCAATACATATTTTACCATTATTTTCATTACACTTTCCACCAGGGTTCAAAATTATTGAACGCCTCGTCTTTTCATCAAGTTACTGTCCTACTTAAGTCTTACTCGAATGCTATTCTTAAAAAAAAAAAAGGAAAATATTCTGTCTTCTCAACGATTCTCATATTTAAAAAGAAATGATGACTGCTTCTTAGTTTGAAGATAATCCTCACACACGTTCTCTTACCGACTGAACTTAATACATTACATAACTTTCTCCTTTCCATTTTTTTTATGGATACAGTCCCGAGCGCTGGCAAACTGTCCCACTCACACTGCAGGTCCCCAGCCAGGACATGTTGCACATTCACCATCCCCACCACCATAACTACAACTATCACCACTATTACTACCCTAGCGTTCCTGCTACTACCATTATCACGTTAATAATCAACATTTCTGTCAGCTATAATCACCATAGTCATTATCAACCTGTCGACCATCACTATAACTATAACAACCACTGCCGTAACAATCACCACCATGACCCCAACCATAGTATTTGTACCATTGCTATAACTACTACCAGAGCAACCACAGATATAACCAAACCATACCACGGGTGGGTTTAGAACCCGCGATCAGTCTCTCTGGAGTTTTAAGATTCTCTGATCGCGGGTTCTAACCCCACCCGTGGTACGGTTTGTTTGCAATCGTGTCATTACGATTTCGTGAGCCATGAGAGACATAATCGCCGCCACGGCAACAACAACCATCCCCATACACACCATCACCACCTAGATCACCACCATCAAAACTAACACCAGCGCCGCCGCCTCTTCATTATCATCTACACTCTTCACCTACCGCGGCACAAGGGGATCGCGTGCACTCACACAGGCGCAAGATTACGTGTGTGTGTGGGATTAGTGCGAGGAGGGAAGTTTTACTATAGGGGGGTTGGGAAAGAGGGAGAGGTCTTGAGGAAGGAGGGCGATGAGGGTGAAAAAGGAATAAGAGAAGGGAAAACAGGAAAGCGGGAGAGGAAGGAGGAAGGAGAGACTGGAAAAGGATGAAGGAGAGTTAGGAAGAGGATAGAAAGGAGAGAGAAAGGGAAGGTAGAGGAGGAAACAGAAAGGAGGGGAAAATACAGGATGAGAAACAAAAGGAAGGAAGTAAGAGAGACAATGGAGGGAAGGTGTGAGACGAAGGAGAAAAGAGGTTAGGTAGTGTAGCTAACAGAGTTGCCTCAGCTGCTGAATCAGCAATTAAATATTGAGCCTCTTTGACTAAGCACAACCTCTCCCTCTCCAGCATTTATCGCTTATTTTTCATCTTAAGTCTTCGTTACAATAATTTACACTCGCCCCTTGCACAAGTATTATATTCCACTATCTCCATCCTACCCTTTCACTCACATTAATTCTAATGTCCACTAACATCACTTCCCTCAGCTTGTCTACTAATTAGCTTAATTCCCCTCTGAATTCGCATTACTGTACTTTCTTCTTCTTCCTCTTCTTTCAATTCATTTATTAGCTTTACTTATCACTCATTACGTTTCCCTCTCTTAAAATAACCATTTGTACTTTATTTATTTAAAACAATTATTACTTCCAATTTACCTTTCTGGGTGAATTTTATATTAATAATATTTAGTTTGCTACCCATCCTAATGTTCCTATTAACTTACACAAATAACCCGCACATAAAAGAGAGAAGCTTACGACGACGTTTCGGTCCGACTTGGACCGAAGTTGGACCGAAACGTCGTCGTAAGCCTCTCTCTTTTATGTGCGGGTTATTTGTGTATCGTTCCAGTCACGGTATTGTGCCTTTTTTTCTTATTCCTATTAACTTCCCTTCACATACCCTTTCCTACCCTTTCTTTCACCTTCTCCTCTAACTTCTCCATGTCGGTTTCCTTCCCTCCTTCCGCCTTCTTCCACCCCGTTTCCTCCGACTTATCCTATCACTCCTTCTTCCACCCCTGTTTCTCACTCTTGGTAAAGTGATCTTCCAGCTATGTGTTCTAATAGCACTTACGTTATCAAACTTGACAATGTTTGCACTGGAAAGACGCATATGTGTTTTACTAAAATTTCATGCTACTCATTTATAAAAGTGTCAACTTTGCATCCATAAATGACGCTATTGGTATCAACTTGAAAATATCCTAGCTAACAATTATATTTAAAGATACCCTAATATATTGTTGAAGACATCCTTTTCTTGTAGTTTTTAGATTAAAAAAATCGAAAATATCTCGAAATTATAAAAAATCAAAACAGGAAAATAATATAGGTTTGTGAATTCTGTTGTATATTGGTTTGTAGAACTATCTGCAACATGAAACAAATCAAATACCTCTATAAATAGGTAGGATACTGAACGTCTTTGGCAAGACCCACCATCCCTGGGAGAGTCTTTGGTAAGAGCCACCGTTCAGTGGGCAGAGAGCAACATGGCGTTAAATGGTGGTAAGTTCCAACTGCTTAGGTATGGAAATAATGAAGAACTCAAAAGGAACACTGTATACAAAACTCAAGAGGATCATCAAATAGAACGAAAGCAACACGTGAAAGACTCGGGAATAACTATGTCAGCTGATCTTTCTTTCAAAGAACATAAGACAAAGGTCACGATAACCAGGAGAATGACGGGGTGGGTATTGAGAACCTTCAAAACAAGGAATATAATATCAAAGGCGACATTTTTCAAATAGCTAGTGCTCCCCCATTTGGAATATTGCTCACTGTTAACGGCCCCGTTCAAGGTATGAGAAATATCAGAGCTTGAACAAATACAGAGATTGTTTACGGCCCGTATAGAGCCAGTAGAGCATTTAAATTAGTGGGAGTGCCTTAAAGTCTAGAATATGTACTCACTGGAGCGGAAGAGAGAGATACATGATAATATATACCTGGAAGGTACTCGTCCCAAATCTGAACACTGACATCATAACGTACTGGAGCGAGAGATATGGAAGGAAGTGCAAGATAAATCCAATGAAGAGTGGGCACAATAAGGGAACACTGTATCAACATTCGTGGCCCCAGATTATTCAACATCTTACCAGAGGATATCAGGAACACAGCTGGAACAAGTGTAGACGTCTTCAAGAGAAAACTGGACAAGCATCTTCACCAGGTGCCAGATCATCCAGGCTGTGATGGATATGTTGGGCGGCGGGCCTCCAGCAGCATCAACCTGATTGACCAGGCTAACACCAGACGAGCCTGGCCCATGGCCGGGCTCCGGGAATAGAAAGAATCTCGAAACTCATCAAAGGTAAAGGAGTCTTTGGCAAGAGCCACCATTCCTGGGAGTCTGGCAAGAGCCACCGTTCCTGGGTGTCTTGGAAGCACTGAGAGTGCTATCAGTGTGGCCACTTCACTCCTCTACACAGTCGAGTTACCAGTGATTACCTTTCAGAGATAATTAATGCTATGTAAAAAAAAAATAAAAATAATACCAATACAATTTTTGCCTACCTCAGTGTATTCATGACGTCACAACTGTACATCATAGTGACAATTTAACAGACGAAATATTACACACTGCTATCAGTAGTTTGCAAATATTTTTCAGTTTTCGAATAATTTTCAAAAACATTCAAGCTATCTCTATATAAAGTCCCATTTGCACTAATAGTCTTAGTCTTTCCTCCTCTCTACTGCCTCCTCCTGATCTGTTCTTTTTCCTTTTTTCTTATTTATTGACCCATTCTGTTGTAACATTTCGAAACTCTCATTCATAATAGAGAACAAAAAGGAACAATACCGTGACTGGTACAATACATAACCCGCACACAGGAGAGAGGAGCTTACGATTACGATTCGGTCCGTCTTGGACCATTTACAAAGTCACAGTGTGACTTATTTGTGTAATGTCTTATTCCTCCTGATTTTCGTACACATTCGCACAATATGCTTTTCTTCTATCAAAAGAGAACCCACTATCAGAAAACAGAAAAGCGTTGCAGAGATGTATACAATATGTTTCGGTCTCTATCAGCGACTTTCTTCAGGTCTACTGAAGAGGCAGTCAAGGAAATCTAGCCTCAGGCCGGGCTACGTGGAAAATAAACCCTTAAAAAGGGTCCCATGTATGTTATTGGTATCACATCTGAGACCATTCCATTACCTCTTGTAATATAATAATCACTAATGTATTCTTAATTAATGCAAACCTATATCCAAGAGGTACTCTTTCTTTCAAGTGTCGAGATATGTGATGGAAAGAATGACGTGAGGAACGTCTGTGTCTATGTGAAAATTATTAAGTTTTTACTATTGTTCACTTACCTTTATCCATATCAATGAAGAAAAAACAGTCCCACGTCTTTATCGTCCTCGTTTTTCCCTTCCCCAAGTTCTACCTCTGCCCACAGTTCATTTTCAGGGTTCATCTGTCCCATTTCTTACAACTTACCCCCTAACCTTTTCTAATCTGCCTTCCTTCTTTCCCCTAGTACTTATGTAACCGTACCTTGAGATGCATGGATGGTCCTCGAGCCTGGGGGTCTCGCCTGGCAGGTCCCAGCTTGTCCACCTCCAGCTCCACCAGGTCGGTGTTGGACTCTGCCTCACTCATCCACGAGGCAAACTTGTCCAGCGCTTTGTCAAAGTTGTGCAGCGAGTTCATGGCTGAGTGCAGCTCCTTGCCTCGGGCGATGATGCTGGAGCAGGGAGAGAAGTCACCATAAATACCACCAACCTTTATCTCCTGTATTAGTTTCAACCATGTCTACCCACTTACTTTTTTATGATGTATTCTAGCTCCTCTTCTGTTTTCTAAGTATATAAGAATAAGAATCAAAGTTTAATTACTGACATTTGGAATTTTATGTAACAAAAACAAGTAGCATTCACATTTCCTGTTAGAGAAGGCAAGACCAATGCGCACGCAGGCTGGGTTCGCTCTCACAGACTGACATTATTAGTAGTGACTGGACACAAAGTTTATTTGCTTTACTTCACACGCACAAGACTTCCATTGACCTGTGGGCTATCACAACACATCTCATTCTTGATTTCTACATTATAGGATACTTGCTTGATGGCCGAGGCAATTTCAATATAGGGTGTGGGACGAGACACTAGACAAAATCTTCAAATTTTGAAACAGTGAAGAATCAAAAATCATCATTAGGACTAGGGAAAGAGAGCACAATTTTTCATCACCCACTGTACGTACGATAGAAACCACAACTTGTATGCAGCTAGAAAAGAGTGAAATAAATTGCCTGTGTCACAGCCAAGACGTAACATTAATTAGTTCAAAATTTATAATGAGAAATTTCTAATTAATGAAGATGCAGATAACATGTATTGAGGGAAGTCAATGTGTAGTTACGAACCTTTCACATTCGTAGAATGGTTGGTTAATTGGGATTAAAATTTCCTTTTATTCCTATATGCCCATGTTTGGGATTTATGTATTTTCGATTGGTGGTAAACGGTAACATGCAGCCTTAATAACCCTTGTGTGTCGATAAGTTTAAAGTATATATAACTCAGATACACATCCCTCCTCGTGCATAAGCACTGTTCCTCTCAGTGCTCACACATCAAGAGGGTTACACTCGTCAGAATATGTTTAAATTGTAGAATGGAAAGGTCTTGTGTGCGTTGCGTAACTACGGGCTTTTTAAGGAAGTAATGTAACATTAAAAAAAACTGTGTTAAATTATGCATTTTAATTTTAAGTATGTACTTGTGGACTTATCAAAATGTTTCATGTTGGCTGACAGAAACCCTATCCTAGCCAACGTGACTCACAAAATCGTCAAAACACGACTGCAACCAAATCAGAGAACGGGCAGCGTTTGAACCCAGGGCAAGCGAGTACTAAACTCACAGACCAGTGCGATAACCACCATTTCCGTGATATACTTTGTCCTTGACTTTATTTGTATTACCATTGTAAGGATTTATAATAAGTTAATTGTGTATGGTAATTTTGGTTGATTTGTTTTGTATTAACTATAGCCCACTTACATATGTGCCTACATGACATAAAAAAACAAGAGAGCCCCAATAAATAGTACAAAAAATCCTCCTACTCGTGTACGTTCAGATATGATCCTAGGATAAATCATTACATGTCATTGATTATAACAATAAATATAATGTATTCAATATAAATAAAACTGTATATATATATATATTATATATATATATAATATATATATATATATATAATTATATATATATATATATATATGTCGTGCCGAATAGGCAGAACTTGCGATCTTGGCTTAAATAGCAACGCTCATCTTGCCATATAGAACAAGTGAAAATTTGTGTACGCAATAATTTCGCCAAAATCATTCTGAACCTAATGAAAAAAATATATTTCACTGTGTTTGTTTAGTATTAAATTATTGTAAACAAATCTAAAATATATTTTGTTAGGTTAGGCTAAAATAAATTGTTCTTGTTGTAATAAGGTTAGGTAAGTTTTCTAAGATTCTTTTGGTGCAAAATTAAAAATTTTTACATTAACATTAATGGAAAAAATATATCTTTAAACGTATAAGAGAAAATTTTAGGAAGGACTTAATTTTAAATGAGTTCTTGCTAATTGACCAGTTTTACATATTCGGCACGACATATATATTATATATATATATATATATATATATATATATATATGTGTGTGTGTGTGTGTGTGTGTGTGTGTGTGTGTGTGTGTGTGTGTGTGTGTGTGTGTGTTGTGTACGCGCGCGCAAGACAAGCCACGGGGGTGGAAATCATTAGCTCAGGTACTTTCACACTTCTCAATACGTCATCAGGAGCTGTTAAATGTTGCAAGGGCAGTAACAGGAATGGGGAAAAATTTTTCCGAGTATGGTAGCGCGGTGGCACCAGCCAGTATCTGACTGAGGGAGAGAGGCCAACGGAATGCCAGCCACGCACCGGTCCTCCCCACACCCCACCCCACATGGGGATGGGTGGAGTAGGCCCCACAGATTGCAGGTAGCACGAGGTTAAATAACTAGGAGATAGTTAACAGCCAGCCCTAAGCTTCTAACCGCTGGGAACAAGTCATGTGACGTAAGAAGTTACATTATAAAAGTGGATCATTTACATACAGAATGAAGCTAATGTGAACAACCTTCTAACTAATGAAACAGAAGGAATAAATCCCTCATTTTGTCAACCGGTAGTACAACGTTCTAGAATATTCAGGAAATACTCTCAATGTCAATTAATATGCCTGTGTAAATTCTCCTTTTTAGGCTTTTCTTTCTTATAATAACTAGGCAATTACTTATTTTCTTATTAACACCATGTACCTCTGTACCAAGACGGAGTAGGATGACTGCACATGTGCACCCGTACCTAAATAAATCCCTATGCCTACTTCCTTACTACTGTTGTTGTATCACTCAGGTTCCAGTCCGCATTGCAGCACACCACCTAGAGCACCTGTAGCATTACAATACCTGTATGCAGTAGTAACTGGGCGGGTTATATCGACGGTCACGGTAGACCTAACATGTTAAATATCGACATTCGCGACGGACTTAACAAGATGTTATATATTATATCACGTTCACGACGGGCGTACCATGATGTTCAGTTTGCAGACTCAGGTCGAACATAACCGAAACATCACGAAACCCCCTGGCATAAGGAGCAATGCTGCAATTTTGTATAACGTTGTTTAAGGCTGTGCACAACAAACTCCACTAAATACCTATCGAGTTTGTATGGACCATAATTTGAGTTATATACGGCATTCCTATCATGTTTTAAGAGGGAGGACTCAATTAGACTATGTAACAAAGTTTCACTTCTGTCGTGTTCCTGGGAAATAAGCATTATTTCCTAAGTCTTTATAACTAAACAAAATTTCAAAAATCAATTTTGATCCCAGAACTTTCCTTTTGTGGTCAGGACACTTCTGGAACACTTTCAAGAAAGACTGATGTAAAACTATTATATTCTAAGGTTTTGCTTGGCAAATATACAAACAGGGGCTCACAAACCAGCATCCAGTTCAGCTCTGGCTACCTGAGAAGATACTTCAGAAATGAAATGGTATCAAAAGGCTACAGTCATTCTCCAGATGCATTCTGCTACATATATGGCCAGTTCATCAAGACAAGAGCAAAGAAGTTCTCTGTAACATCTAAAAAAATGCGTTTACCTTACAAAGTATATTCTGGCATGCCAGTTGGGGAACCAAACAAGACCTGGGCACCTCATGTTGCTTGTGAGAATTATAAGAAAACATTGTAAGATACGAAAGTCGTTAGTTATATGAACGATAAAACCTTGAATAGGAATTTTTTTTAATGAAATGTAACACAGACTAATTCCTTGGTTCTTTAACAGGATTGTATAGAGAAGAAAAAAGAGCCATGAAGTTTACTGTTCCTAGAATATGGTGTGAACCCACTGATCATTCAACCAACTGCTACTTTTGCCTGGTGGATCCTTCCAAACACCGAACTGGGAAAAATGCACGTGGTATTTCTTATCCAGACCTTCCCTCTTCTATCGCACCAGTACCACACAGTGCTGATCTTCCTGTACCTACACCTCCAGAAAGAAGTCAACCGTTAGAAGAAAGCAGCAAATCAGAAAATGAAGAACACAGTGAACAAGACTATGATCTCACAGAAGCAGCTGTTGGGAGGAATCCTTACCACCCAAACCAAACAGACCTCAATGACTATCAGAGATCTTGGTTTGACAAAGTCAAATGCTGAGCTCTTGATTTCAAGGCTCAAGGAGTGGGACTTGGTGGATGAAGGTGTACAAGTGACAAGCCAAAGAAAACGTCACCAACTTTCTCAAGCTTCTTCACTCATGAAGACAGGTTGTGCTACTGTAATGATGTATCAGGCCTGTTTGATGCAATTGGAATTGCATGCAATCCAGATGAGTGGAGACTCTTCATTGACAGCTAATCCAGAAGCCAAAAAGCTGTACTTCTGCACAATGGGAACAAGTGTCCATCTCTTCCCTTTGCTCATTCAGTGTATCTTAAGGAGGACTATAACAGTGCCAAACTTCTACTGGAAGCTTAGAACTATGATAAGTATGGCTGGGAGGCTATTGGAGACTTCAAAATGGTGGCATTTTTGATGGGACTCCAAGGAGGTTTAACCAAGTTTCCCTGTTATCTGTCACTGGGATAGCAGAGACAGCAGCACATTACCAGAGGAAGCACTAGCCTCAAAGGACTGAGTTCTCAGTAAGAAGACATAATATCAAGCATAAACCATTGGTGGATCCTCAAAAGGTTCTGTTCCCTCCATTACACATGAAACTAGGGCTAATGAAATAGTTTGTTACAGTTCTTGACAAAGAGTCTGTAGCCTTCAAGAATCTCCAAGACTTCTTTCCCAACTATCAGAGGCAAAGGTGAAGGCTGGCATCTTCACCGGAACACAAGTCAGGAAAATAAGGGAGTTCTCAGAATTTCCAAAGAAGCTCAGAGAGAAGGAAAAGGAAGCCTGGGAGAGTTTTGTTGCTGTAGCACAGGGCTTTCTGGGCAACAACAGAGCAACAAGAACTTGTCGAGACCTTTGTAAAAAGCTATGGTCAGATGGGCTGAAGGATGTCCCTTAAGGTCCATATCCTTGATGCTCATCTTGAAAATTTCAAGGAGAATATGGGAGCATACTCAGAGGAGCAAGGGGAGTGCTTCCACCAAGATATA